AGATGTAGCTTAGCTTTAGCTTAGCTTTAGCTTTAGCTTAGCTTTGGCTCAGCTTTAGCTTAGCTGTAGCTTAGCTTTAGCTGAGCTGTTGCTCAGCTTTAGCTCAGCTTCAGCTTAGCTTTAGCTTAGCTTTAGCTTAGCTTTAGCTTAGCTTTAGCTTAGCTGGGGCTTAGCTTTAGCTTAGCTTTAGCTTAGCTTTAGCTTAGCTTTAGCTTAGCTTTAGCTTAGCGTTACTGTTACTACTAATGCTGCTTTCCTAGGGGTTCCAACTCCTAGGTAGGGTCGCACTGGGATAATTTTTCGACCCTGACCTTACGGATCTGCGTGAGGGGTGCCACCGGATTTCAGAAATTTGGCAAATCCCCCTTGTTTTTGGACCCTGACCCTACGGATCTGCGTGAGGGGTGCCGCCGGATTTCAGAAATGTAGCAAACATTCCTTTTGTTTTTGGACCCTGACCCTGTCGATCCGCGTGAGGGGTGTCACCGAATTTCTGAAATATTGAGAATGGGTTTTCGGACCCTGACCCCGCCGATCTGCGTAAGGGGTGCCATCTAATTTCCGCCGATCTGCGTGAGGGGTGCCACCGAATTTCAGACATGTGGCAAATCGTTCGGCTTAACAGTTTTAGCGCCGTTCTCGTCCGTACTCAAGCTTTCTCCATACTCAAGCTCTCTCCATACTCAATCTTCCAGCTAGCTTTTGCCATGGCGAGTGCAGCACCGACGTCGCCAGCAGCCCGTGGCTCCACCCGCGCTCCAGGCACCCCGGTTGGGCACCTCGTCCAGGACCCCTGGGAGAACATGGCCAAAAAGCAGCGCTCTGGACATGGCCCTGACTCCCCAGCGACCCCGCTCCTCGGCGAGATGCGCGCGGAGGATCAGGGGTACGTGCAGATGCCTGGAGGCGACATGGACGGCCCAGCCGAGAGGGACGCTCCACCATTTCGCCAGCCGGATTTCGGCGCTGCCGCGGCCTCCTCGGAGAAGGACGATGAGCCTGTCACGATGGCTGGAATCGCTGCTCTCCTTCAGCATCAGCTGGGCCCCGTGACTTCGGTGGTGGCAGATCTTAAGAAACGGTTCATGAAGCTCGACAGCAAAGTTACCGACTTGGGCACTTCCCTTGTGGGCCGCTTGGACGACGTGGATGCGAAGCTGATCGATGCAGACTTGCGCATAGAGAAGCTTGAGAACATGTACGCGGCCATGCAGGCACCCCCCAGTGCCGCGGATATTGACGAGAAGATCCAGGCGAGCATCCAGCAGGCCTTCGCGAGCCAGGCCTCGCAGCAGGCGCCTCTCACCAAGAACGTCCCGCTGGTCGACAGGAAGGCGGTCACCATGGTGATCGGCAATCTGGACTACTTCGGGGACTTTTCGAAGGCCGCCGATTGGTTGCAGGGCAAGCTCACTTCCTTGAAGGGGCCTGCGCCGACGAACGTGTACGTCAAGGGCGACTTTAAGGGCGTCGTCTTCGCCGAGTTCTCTGACACCGCAGTGCGGGACCAGGCGGTGGCACTCCTTCGTGGTGCGGCCCTCGCCAGCGGAGGCAAGAAGGTCTGGGCAACGGAAGACCGAGCTGCCAGCGAACGTGCTGCGAGGAACTTCTGCCTGGGCTTGAAGCGGGTTCTGAAGGAGGAGTGGCAGGTCCCGTATACCATCTCGTTTAACAACGCGGCGCCGTACGTGCTCAAGGTGGGGGGCGAGCACGCGCTTGCCGTGAACGTCTCCGGCAGCGCCGTGGACTGCGAGTGGCAGGGGGACTGGGCAACTTGGTCCGAGCTCCACGACCACTCCTCGATCAAGGACCTCAGGAAGAAGTCGGACGACCTGCTCTCGCGGGCCACGCAGGGGCTCAAAGGAGGCGCGAAGGGCTGCTCCAAGGGGCAAGGGCCCCAGTAGGAAACACGGCACATGAGCGATGTTTCACCCGAATTCGCAGTCGGCCCTACTGCGGCTAGTAACCATGATCGACTTCGCTCTTCCGATTCTTGCCAGGCATGTTTACCAGCAGTCGGCACTACTGCAATCATCCCCCCTCCTCTCTCCCGGGCTTCCGAAGCGCTGCGCTTCCGAGGCGGCGCCCCGCGGCCGTGCGCCCGGAAGCTCCGGGCAGCATCTTGGAATGTTGAGGGCCTCACCGAGGCCAAGCAAGCAGAACTTGAATGGCACATGACATCCATGAACATCGACGTCATGTGCATCCAGGGGACACACAAGACCGGGGCAGAGTTCTCCGTCTCTGATGCCGGATTTTTCCTCGTTCTCTCCGGCGCGTCGGACCCAGACGATAATGGGACGGCGGGGGTCGGTTTCATCGTCGCGCCGCGCATCCGAACGTCCGTCGTGGGGTTCAGGCAACAGGACTCCCGGATGGCGTCCCTGAAGCTGCGAGTCAAAGGCGGCAAGATCATGATCTACACCACGTGCGCTCCCCATGGCGGCAAGAGTTTCCAAGACAGACGGCAGTTTTACTCTAACCTAAGTTCCTTCATCGACAGCGGCTCCCGGCGCGGCCCTGCCTTGGTCTTGGGGGACTTCAACGCTCGGCTTCGTCGCCGGTATCCGGGCGAAGAGCACATTATCGGGCCCTGCATATTCGGGGTCCCGGACGCGATCTACAACCCCTCGTCCAATCGGAGCCTCCTCGTCGAGCTATGCGTGAACCAGAAGCTGTTTATTGGGAACACTATTTTCCACAAGCCGCCGGAGAAGCAGATCGCGTGCTACAACGTGGGCAAGCGGCCGTGCGACCGCCCTTCCCCAGACAATTTTGGACAGATGGACTTCGCCCTAATATCACAGGGTTGGACCCAGCACCTCACGGACGTGCACAGTGACCGTGGCCGGGCGCTGGCCTCGCACCATTTCTTGGTCTGTGCCGACCTCGACATAGAAGTGCCGCTCGACAAGAAAACTCGCACGCCGCAGCCGCACTTTCGAGCCCTCCAGAGCCCGATACGGGCGGCTGCTTTCGCAGAGGCCTTCGGAGAGGCGGCGGGGAGGGCGACCGCGGGCCTGACGGCGAACGAAATAGAGGCGACTATGCGGCCAGCTTTCCGCTCTGCGGCTGCCGCAACTATTCCGGAGAACACGGCCTCGCCGAAGAGGCCTTGGATCTCGCCCCACTCCCTCTCGCTGATCGAGCAGAGAACCGCCGCCCGCCGCTCTGGGCGGACAGACGAGGAGCATCGTCTGCATGTGGAGGTGAAGCGGTCGGTGAAGAACGACAGGTCGATCTGGCTCAACAACTTGCTTGAGACGGGCGACTGGGACCAGGTCCGCAAACTCAGAAGAGGCTTCGCTCCTGCGCGGCATGGGCGCCTACGCGGGATGGACGGCGAAGTGGTGCAATCAGATAGGAGAGCCGACGCGATGGTCGACTACCTGTGCGATGTTCAATGGGCCCCACGTGCTACGACGCCGATGGCACCTGCCCCGATTGGCCCAGAGCTGGAAGTCCAGACCAGTGACATCACAGAGGAGGAGATCATCGATGCAGCGCGACGCATGCGATGGGGCAAGGCTTGTGGCCATGACGGCGTCCCCGGGGAATTGTGGAAGGCTATCTGCATGCACGCGGGGCCGGGGAGGGAATGGGCGCTAGCCCTGTGTCAGAAGTGCTGGAGAGACGGCTGCGTCCCGGACGCCTGGCACGAAGCCCTCGTAACTGCAATCTTCAAAAAGGGGGACGTGTCTCAATGTTCAAACTACCGGCCTATCTGTCTGTTGCAAGCCGGATATAAGATGTACGCCATGATCATCTTGCGCCGGTTGAAGGACGCCGGCGCGGAGGCCAGGATCTGGCAGACTCAGTTCGGCTTCAAGTCTGGGCACGGGACGGCAGATGCCATATTCTTAGCGCGGCGCCTCTCGGAGGAATCCTGCGCGTTGCAGGGGTCCCCGCTGGTGCTGCTCGCGCTGGACTGGGCCGAGGCGTTCGACAGCGTGATGCCAGATGCTCTCCTCGAAGCGCTGCGCCGGTTCGGCCTGCCGCGGGAGGTGCTGGCCGCCGTGAGCGCCATCTATTCTGCCAGGAGCTTCGCGGTGAAAGAGTGCGGGCAGATTTCGGCGTCGCGAGAACAAGGAGCGGGCATTTGCCAGGGATGCCCGTTATCGCCTTTCCTCTTAGGGATGGTCATGACGGTGCTCCTGCACGACGCAAAGAACAGCCTCGGTGACCTGGCAGGACTGGTGGACGAGTTGGTGTACGCGGACGACACGCTCATCGTCGCGAGCGCATCCGGACACGCTGAGCAGTACATGAAGGCAGTGGAGAAGGCGGGCGCGAACTACGGCCTCGCCTTCAATTGGGGGAAGCTCGAAATCTTGGCCGTGGGATGCAACGCTGTTATTCGCAGGCCGGACGGGGCTGTCATTCCCCAGAAGGCAAGCGTCGTGTACCTCGGGTCCGTGCTTTCCGCAGACGGGACGATGCAGGCTGAGCTGGGCCGCCGCCTTGGGCAAGCGAGGGCAGAGTTCGAACTTTTACACCGTGTCTGGAACCGCAGCAGCATCCCGATGCATAGAAAGATGCAGATATACGAGGCGTGCGTGCAGACGAAATTACTGTACAGCTTGCACACGGCATGGTTGAAGCAGGACGAGCTGACCCGCATCGACGCCTTCCAAGCAAGGTGCCTGCGGAGAATCCTCGGGATCCCGCATTCGTACGTCAGCCGAGTGTCTAATGCGGACGTGCTGGCACGAGCGCGCAGGATGAAGCTTAGCAGTACTCTCTTGCAGCGGCAACTCACATATTTTTTCCATATTGCTTGTAAGGGTGATGACCACCCCTTGCGTTCAGCTATTTTTAGACCTTCCTCCCTCGACCTCCGCCCCCCCTCCGGCAAGCGGAAGAGAGGCCGACCGCGACAGACGTGGCCTGCCGAGGTGTACAAACTTGCAAGAGATGTTTGTGGCAGTCTTCAAGTTCCAATCGAACATTTATGCGCAATCCCAGTTCGAGACTGGAAGCGCGCAGTGCGGTCATTTTGCTTGGCACGGTAAGTGTGCCATATTGCTCATGTGCCTTCTGACACACGGCTTTGACTGACTGACTGGCAAATCCCTTGTGTTTTTGGACCCTGACCCCGCCGATCTGCGTGAGGGGTGCCAGCGAATTTGAGAAATGTAGCAAATCCTTTGTGTTTTTGCACCCTGGCCCCGCCGATCTGAGTGAGGGGTGCCACCGAATGTCAGAAACGTGGCAAATCCCTTGTGTTTTTGGACCCTGACCCCGCCGATGTGCGTGAGGGGTGCCAGCAAATTTCAGAAGTGTGGCAAACCCGTTGTGTTTTTGGACCCTGACCCGCCGATCTGCGTGAGGGGTGCCAGCGAATTTCAGACATGTGGCAAACCCCTTGTGTTTTTGGACCCTGACCCCGCCGATCTGCGTAAGGGGTGTCAATTTTTACCCACCCCAACAATTTAGAGCGCACGCTCAGGGCGTGCTAAACCTGCCCGTTTGGGCCCCCCCCCACCCCCTCGCGCGGTCCATCAACAAAGAACAGTAAGCAGCAAGAAGCAGAACTGTAACAATGGAAATTGGAAGCTGCAACTGGTACAGGAAACTGCGAACCTTCGGCCCGCAGCCTGGTGGCCCCACAAGGGGGCTGGCGAATTACGTTTGCGATTGCCAACGCGATGTTGCCGATGATGAGGTAGTGACGATGATAGTGGTGGTGGTGATGCTGATAATGACGATGATGTTGATGATAACGATGAGGATGCTGCTGATGATGCTGATGATGATGATGCTACGGATGATGATGATTCAGATGATGATGGTGTTGATGATGTGGATGATGATGATGCTTAGAATGATGATGGTGATGATAATGATGAAGATGAGGGTGATGTGGAGAGGGTGATGATGCTGGTGGTGATGATGTTGTGGATAAGGGTGATGAGCTTGATGGTGATGTTGAGGTTGTTGATGATGATGCTGGCTGTTGATGATGCCGACGACGATGCTGAGGATGACGATGCTGATGATGACGATGCCGATGACGACGATGATGATGATGATTATGGTGATGGCGTCGATGATGATTATGACGGTGATGACGATGATAGTGTCGATGATGGTGATGCTGATGGCGATGCGGGTGTTGACTACGATGATGACGACGACGACGACGACGACGACGACGACGACGACGATGATGATGATGATGATGATGATGATGCTGATGATGATGATAATGATGATGATGATGATGGTGGAGATGATGATGATGCTGATGATGATGATGATGATGATGCTGATGATGATGATGATGATGATGATGGTGGTGGTGATGATGATGATGATGGTGACCAATCTGATGATTCAAGTGGCGACGACGATGATGATGCTGCTGCTGGTGATGATGCTGATGCTACTGATGATGATGGCGACGACGACGATGACGATGACGGTGATGATGCTGCTGATGACGATGATGATGATGATGATGATGATGATGATGATGATGATGATGACGATGATTGATATGAAGTCGATGCAGATGACGACAACTAGGATTATGCTGGTAATGCCGCTGCTGATGCTGGTGCTGATGCTACAGATGAGGATTGTGAACACGCTGCCGCTTCTCAATGCCATTAATGGTATCATGATCGTTGTGGTATTCTAAGTTTCGTATTGCGATTGACGGTTATAGTGACGGTGGTGGTGGTGGTGGTGGTGGTGGTGGTAGTGGTGATGAGAGGGGGAACGAGGACGAGCAGGACGAGGATGATACGCGTGTGCGGGGGGGGGGGGGGGTCGGGGCAGCCCCTGAGGGGAACGCGACGGCAACCGCCCATCAGGTCTACCGCCAGGTCTGCGCCACCTGCCACTCCATGAAACAGCTCCACTTCAGGCTCCTCCCCAGCGCGATCTCCCCTGCCTGCCTCGATCTCCCGTCCCCCCCCTTACGCCCTGACCCCGCCTCCCGCTCCCCTCTCCCCCCCTCTGTCGTCGCGTTCCTCCTCCTATTTCTCCTCCCGCCTCCTTCCTCTCTCCCTCCTAGCTGGCTACTCCGACGCGGGGGCGAAGACCAGAGTCGCCAAGGCACCGCCAACACTCGACGAGTGGTTGTACGGCCCTGGCGGGTGACGCTTGTGTGGACGTGGGGGTACGGCGTGCACACGGCCAGCAGCGTTTCCATGCGCGGCCCGAAAGCGCGCGTGGGCGGCGAGAGCGACATAGTCGCAGCCCGAAAGGTCCCCGAAAGGTCTCCTCTCTCCCTCCTCCAGGCTCATGGGCTCGAGATAGGCGAGCGGCTGTTTCGAAGCAGCAGGTACGCAGACGACTCTGCAAAGAAAGGGGCCTAGCTGTGCGAGCACCCTTCCTGGCACCAGCGTGTCTATATGCAGAAATCTAGCACAGAGCATGCGACGTAGTAGAGTTTGCAGTCAGGTAGACAGACATGCCGTCAGGTGTCGTCGATAGGACAACCGACGTGGATCAGAGTAGCATCGCGAGTATTTCCCCGAGTGTGGCCGCCGAGCCGATCCCCATTTCACCTCTGATGCTTCTCCCCCACTTCTTCCGACTTCGTGCGAGCTGATGGGACCTGAACCTGTTGAATTCGACGAGGAACGCCAGGATCGTATTCGAGGGGCACAGATGTTGGGACACCATCTGGTATGTCGGCTCACTTTTGTATTTTGCAGGCGTCGAGCTTCCTACACAGAAGCAGTTTCTGTCACACAAACATTTTATCTGGAACCCAATTGAACCGACGCCTGGGCGAAGGGAACTGGGCATTCCAGCAATCCTGCAAGATCTGGAAGCGCGCCTCAATCAGCAGGGCAAGGACGATCATTGTTTTTCCAGTTGCGTAATTCGCAATCTATTATTTTCCATGTTTTCGTTGTGGTTGCTGAAGAGTGACTGATTGATCAAGGTTGGACGGTTTCCACTGCGGATGCTCGCGAAAAATAAAGGGTATTCCTCACTCTCATTTTTCGAGAATCTCAAGCGCCACTTTGCCTACGCGTGCTGGATCCAAGCCGCTCTCTGTAATGCTGCGAGATTTCTTCTTGGCAAAAGACCTGGGTTTACCGACGACGCAGAGGGCGACCCTGACAGCAGTGGGCACAATCCGTGTGCAAGCTGGATTGTGTGAGTGCATGAAGCAATTTGTGTCCACCCCCCCCTCCTCTTCCTCCTCCTCCTCCTCCTCCTCTTCTTTCTCCTCCTCCTCCTGTTCCTACTCCTCCTGTTCCTCCTCCTCCACCTCGTCCTCCTCCTCCTCCCTCTGCCCTTGCCCTTACTCGGCGCGCCGGTCGCGATTCTGATAACTCTGTAACCGAGCTTTCCGCCCACGCGTCCTTCATGGATGCACGGCTTTCGTATCGCGTGTGCTTCCTACGCGAGGGGTGAGTGGACGAATCTGGTCCAGGCCCGTTGTGAGGCAGCCCGAGCTAGGACGTCCAAGGGTACACTGCCGCGTTTGTAGGAGGGCCGCCACCCAACAACGGGGGCTCCCATGTGAGAAACACCGCACAGCGAACAAGCAGGCTGTCGTAGTGCTGCCATCCATTCCTTGGGGTCATAAGCAGGACAATCCAACATAATCCCTGCTCATCCTCCTCCTGCTCATCCTCCTCCTCCTCCTCCCTTTCTCTCTCATCCTCCGTCGCTTATTTTTCCTCCTCCACCTCTCCTCTCCCGCCCTCCCCCTTCCTCACCCTCCTCCTTCCGCCTGCCTTCGTTGATTTCAGTCTGGGGTGGCAGGCTCCAGCGGCAGCACTCGTTTCGCAGCGGAGCGCGGCCGAGGAGATCTACACCACCCTTTTCTGTCCTCATTCTCCTCCCTTTCCCCCTTCCTCCCTTCATCCTCCCGTGCTGCACTCCCTCGACGCTTTCCGTTCCTTCATTTTGAACGGGTCTGAATTGCCAGGCCACGAATTCACACACTTACGCTGAACCTCCACGTGGCGTGTTGGAACGCGACCGCACGACGGGCCGGTCCATGCATGCACTCAGTAGTTGACGAGGCGTGTGAGCATTGAAGGCTGTTCCATCTCGTGAGGTTTAAGACCCCATGCTTCTGACAGCCAGCCAGCTGGTCCAGAAACCATGAAGCAGGGGGGGGATGTAGCATGCATGAAGCCACGGATCGTTTGGAGGTGGGGGGTGGAGGGACGCGCGGGATGGGGTGAGCAGTGGTTGCACGCTGCAGCGTCCTCCACTGCTGTTGCTCTTCTTCTCCTCCTCCTCCTCCTCCTCCTCCTCCTCCTCCTCTGCCTCCTTCTCCTCCTCCTCCTTCTCCCCCTCCTCCTCCTCTGCCTCCTCCTGCTCACCTCATCCTCCTCCTCCCCCTCCCTCCTCCCCGCCGCCCTCATCCTCCCCCCCCCGCCTCTCCTTCTCGACCTGCTCCCGCCTCCTTCCCCCCTCTCCCCTCGCCCCTCCTGCTTGTCGGGAGGGGGAGGGGACCGGGACGGGGCGGCACGCGGGCTGCGTGGCCTGCTGCCGAGGCACCTCGTGAACCAGGTCCTGCCCGAGAAGCGCATGAAGGATTGGGCAGCGGCTGTGGAGGAGGAAGGGGGGGGAGGCAGGAGGAGGGAGGGAGGGAAGAGGGAGGGATGAGGATGGGGAGGAGGATGAGGAGGAAAGGCGCTGCACGATGATGACCAAGATGATCTTGCCGATCATAATGTTGATGATGATGGTGATGACGACGATGGGAGTGTCTCGAACGTTGTTTCCAAGTCCGCCGCGGCCGCGTCCACGCCAACACCTCCATTAAGCGCCTGTCTTGTTCTGCCCACGATCAAGTTGACCTTCTCGACGCAATCGGTGGACTCCAAGACGTACCCAACCCGGAAATGAACATGTCCTGGAAATCCTCGCTCAAGGAAAAGCCGCCGTGAATGGCTGCATCTCTACATGGCAATCATCTGGACACGCAGCTGCTGCCGCAGAAAAGGCAACGTCGGGGAGCAAGGCTGCCGACCAGGCCCGCGACTGCGGCGGGGAGTACACGTCGAGGACGTGCGAT